TATCTTTAATTAATATCTGTAGCACTGTCAGATAAATTTTAAAGACGTTTTATACCAATAGGCGATGTCAATGTATAATTATATTTAATATATTTTACAACACTAAAAGTTTTAAAAATATCGAGATCACAAAAATGATCAAGGTAATAAGTATAAATAACGGTACGAGTCTACTTGAATACCACGTCGTCTCGTTCGTCGCGGGTCTGTATCGTGTCACCAAAGCTGGCTGAAGTAAAAAAAAAAATAAATCCCTTTTCAAATCTAATGAAATTGTCTATGTACTTCTTTAATTCCCAATTTATTTTATCTTACCCATCCTCCGTTAGCTTGTATCCACGTCGCAAGGTCCTCTTCCAAGACATCGGTCATACCTGGAACCAGTTATTAAATACTCGAAGATGTAACACTGTTGAAGCTAATCAGTGACGTGCATTAGCAGACAAATATTATTCTTAGGATTAATTACTTGCCTCTCTGAATTGCCGGCAAATATTCAGGTTTCCCCTGACGCACGCAGTCCACGCCGATTCCGCCAGCGACCGCGTAAAGGGCTATCACCTTGCTCCAAGTCATCTCTCCGATTCTGATCATCTCCCTGGAGACCTCGACGAAGGCTTCGGTTACAGCTTGTTCCGACGAGAAAGTGCCGCAACCGATCTGCCGGGCGACACGATTGAACAGATTCGGATGCATCTTTTCTAGCTCAGACCCCACCGCCACTAATTCCGGATAAACCTCGCCGACGACCGTGCCACCGGGGAGCAGCATAGCGCTCCTCATCCTCTTCAATCCGAGTTTTCGTTGAAAAATCCCGGATCGCTTCAAGCGGTTCCGGATATACTGAGCGCACAGCGAGGATCCCTACATCAAATTCAAACACTTGTTCTTTACGTTTTTAACTTTAATAATTATTACCACTAATTCAGGTTTTAGTTTTCCTATTTCTTTAATCCTCAAGTGTTTAATATTTCCTTTTGAAAATTGTTTCAATTATTTTTTAATGTATTTATGACAAACATCAAACATCGAATATTTTCGACATAATAAATTTCAGCCATAATATAGTTAGACATATCGGGCTCTCGACTTCAATTGACTTACGGCTCGTCGAGTACGTACTTGTGACACGGTAAGTTCTACTGATGCCGAAACAGTTCTCCATCGGATCGTGTGCGAAATCTTCCTGGAAACGACGTCGCTGACATTGCTGAATCTTCTTCGTGCCGAGTCGACCACGTGAAACGGCGATACCTCTTGATTATTATTCGCTAACGGGAAGGCGGCCAAATTCGAGTGCAATGACAGAGCTAGACTGTTCCTACGATACGACTGGCTCGCATTCCCGGAATTGTCCTCCAAGCCGCGCAGAGATCCAACGAGTCCAGACATTGAAGTGTCCTCCGCGGAGAATTCTTGCCATTCAGGCTTCCCAGGCTTGAAGAATTTTAATGATCGTTAAAAAAAGTTGGCACTTCGTTTCCCGGCGACTGTACGTAACTGCCTCTCGTACTTTCTCGGAAATTCTGTAGTCTACAGATTATTACACGCCGCAAGTATGCAATTGTACAGTAAATTATTTCTACTTATAAATCACATCTCTTCGAAAACGTCTGATATTTTATATAAAAATTGTAAATGCTAAAATACGTTTAAGCGTTGTGATGATCAATGTTCGGTGAAACATGTAACCAGAAGTTGACCACAAAATGTTCTGCGGTATCAGTATCACACGCTTCGGTGGTGAAACTAATTAGTGCAACAGCGATATGTTCGTATCGGTTTTCGAAGAAACGCGATATGTAACATATGAAAAAGTATTTTAGTTTAGAAAATACAACCAGTAGTATAAACCCCTTAAATAGAATATTATTCGCTAAGGACTTCTTTAAAAGGCGATACGTTTACGAGGCGTTTTAGCGAGAATTCAGTTCCGCGGGTACCTCGTCTTGAGAATCAGAAGGACACCTCGGAGCACATACCGCGATAAATATCTCCGGTCCCTTTATGGTAATCGTGAGACACGTACTCACGTTCATAGATACACTACCGGTCAAAAGTATGAGACCACTTCTTGTTAATTTGTAGAATGTTAAAGAACGTTTTATATAGACGTTTAGTTTTATATAGAAGAGAGCAATATAGTATAGACGACAATTATAAAATCTGTACACTGATGAACGACGCAAAAAATTAATAAAGACAGGTGTTATATATATTTTTAAACGATCTTACGAAGCTTCTTATGCCCTTACCATCACGGAATACTATGGTACATTCACACCAGGCATCGTAACGCAATTATTATTCCGAGTGCCACTTATCTTGCGGCTTTATTTAACATGCTCCACGGCGCTTTGCGCCTTGCAGCCAAGATACACTCTCATTGTATGCATATTACTCACTCCCATCCCAACGTTTGCCTTCTTAGTAAGCGCGGATTAAATGCTGCGTGTGTCATTTCTAAATTAACGGTGATCCCCATCGCGAAATTCCAAATCACGTCTCGTTAACACAGAATCTTAATTATAGCGTCGTCACAGTTTCAAATCCGAGTTTAACGTCGACGAATAATTACAATTGAGTAAGTGCTTTACGGTGTAATTTGTGTGAACTCGAATTTAACAGAGGATATATGATAAGAGGTTTCTTTAATTTTTCTTAATTCGTTAAAGAATGGTTTAATCAATCTTATGTGAACTGTTGATCAGACACTTATTATTAATCAGACAGATAAAATATATTTGGGCAAACATGTTTTTGTAATATGCTATTATCAAGACTATTATTATTATTTTGTACAACTGTATATATAATATGTATTTCAGAAATATTCTTTGGTACTTTCGCAATTGTCGAGAGACAAGCGATAAAAATGAATTGTAGCGTCTGCACATAAATGGAAATTCTAGGTAGGATTGTAGAAAATTAATACTGGGTTTATGCCAGTCTTGTGCTCTAGTTATCAATTATCAGCGATGTTCAACTGACCGATTAATCACTCAAGTGGCCACCCGTTTCAACAATATTATTGTGTCCGCTAATGACGATTCGCAGAATAAAAGAAAGTTACATTTGCGCATTGCTGTCTCCATTTCACTCCGCCACTAGCATAATTATTTGAATATGTATCATCGGAGAGCATTTATATCGAATGGAGTCACAAAATTTCTGTAATTTATTATTGACTTGATTATTATNTTATTTTGTACAACTGTATATATAATATGTATTTCAGAAATATTCTTTGGTACTTTCGCAATTGTCGAGAGACAAGCGATAAAAATGAATTGTAGCGTCTGCACATAAATGGAAATTCTAGGTAGGATTGTAGAAAATTAATACTGGGTTTATGCCAGTCTTGTGCTCTAGTTATCAATTATCAGCGATGTTCAACTGACCGATTAATCACTCAAGTGGCCACCCGTTTCAACAATATTATTGTGTCCGCTAATGACGATTCGCAGAATAAAAGAAAGTTACATTTGCGCATTGCTGTCTCCATTTCACTCCGCCACTAGCATAATTATTTGAATATGTATCATCGGAGAGCATTTATATCGAATGGAGTCACAAAATTTCTGTAATTTATTATTGACTTGATTATTATTATTATTATATACATATATTTATTGTTATTAAACTTTTGTCTCAGGAATGCAAAACCTTAGACAGCTGCTACATTCTTGGTTCACTTTAACAATTTTTGAAACACTGAAAGGCTTGCTAAACCCAAATTGATGATAAACATTCTTTTAATGATATGCATTTAATATGCATCTGTTTAAAGCATCTCTTAAGCCAAATTGAGTTGTGTACAGAACGTAAAATAACTGACAAGATTAATAAATTTACCGGCAGCGGAATTGCCTCCTCTTGGACCACCAGCCGAAAGTCCGGTTTCATCGTATGTCACGCGTGATCGGTTTATTAGTCACTGTCATCTATCTCGTTTTACATACATATTATATACGTAATACTTTTCTGAATTATCACTTATCAACCGGCATACCCGGGCGACCGATTATCGTCGAGTGTGCGCGACGTGGGCGACGTCAGTCGTGTTAAAACGTTCGTTGAGTTTGTTTTATCAACTTCCAAGGCTTATTTCCGTACCGCAACGATACGCGATAATGAATACGTACACGCGTCATTTTCACATTTTTACGCGCTCGGTCGCGTGAACTGTCCGTCGAAAGCCATTGACAGTATTCTTCTCGGACGTCATCGTTCTTTGTTGATCAAAAATGAAAAATAAAAACGTCATTCACGCGACTGACGCAAAAAATACCAGATATACGTCTAATGAAGTTATGAACCGCGCTATAAATAAAATTATTGTTAAGTACATTTAAGTG